GGCTACGGTAGCACCTTTTTAGGATTACGGTAGCTGACTATGGGGTCTGAAAAGCCCAAGAATAAACTTCCTGCTTCAGAAAGTACTAAGGTTTGAAACCCCCCAACGTATACCTCTCGTATAACCCTGAGCAAATTAGCCGCTTCATCCACTTCGCGCTGATTGGTCAAATCACTGGTTTCATCCATCTCGCTGATTGGCCAAACCACAGATTCAACCAATCAGCAATGTGAGTCATGCGGCCAATAAGCGGGTAAGTCTGGCGCCTGCATACAAACTTATGGTCTTCCTTGTAGACCTTCTAGACCAGAGTCTTAGAGTTTTTTTACTTGATAAAAAGTGGCGAAATTCGCAAAACTGGAATTTTGGACTAACTGGAACAATAACTGGAACTTTGACACTGAAGAGAGGCATAATTGACGAGATGAAAAACGATAACAATGACATTAACATTCTTGCAAACATTTTCTAGATGCTGAATTGGTACACGCATTTCGAAATTGGGAATCGTATTGTTCCAGAAAGAGCTTCCATTCAATGCCAATCTCGGAAATCGTCCCATAAGCTAAGCCTTTGCAAAAATCTGCTTTGCAAATCTGCATATTGTGTAACATGAACGATCTGTGAATTTCTGTCCCTCCTCTCCCCCCCCCTCTTACCCTCCATCCTCCCCCAGAAAACTTTTGAAAACGAAGCTAACAACAAAACCGTCACCACGTGCTAAGCAGTAACATTAGAAGAGAAAGCGCAGCTGCTCCTTCAACGACAAAGTAAAGAAAAAGACTTTCCACTCAGAAACTTTTGCAAGCCAAGAAAAATGACAAGGATTCCGGAAGAAACACGCGACCGCTTTCGTCAAAGCGAAGAGAGGGGACTGTGTGCCCTGATATCATATAGATCAAAGAAAATCAAACTGCCATCGAACGTTCGCGACCCTGCTGAGCAAACGCAGCAAACATCGAAAAAGTAAGATTGTAAACCGGTTTCGTAGATCTTCGAGTGGCCATGGCGAGATAGCGGTTAAGATAAGCGTACCACATATCGAAAATCAAAGTGTAATGGGTGGCACTCGGTTGTTTACATCCTTACTTGCAAGGAAGAACGTAATCTAATCGATCACTGGTGGAACTTTGATAACCGGGCATGTCTGCAATAAATGGTTGGGAAAAGTAGTGTGTCTTGCGTAAAAATATTAAAAAAAAATAAAAAAATCGTGCCGGTGGTTGCAAAAAATATAAAAAAATATAGGCTGCTAATACCTGTGAATTCTTCTATCAGTGCAAATTTAATTATATTTTGTTTAGAAAAATCGGCAAACTACCATTATTTCATTCATATCATTTATGACATGGGGGACCCATGTCAGGTAACAAACAAATAACAATCAAAGAAGCAATATTAAGTGAAGTGATATACCTTGAATAACAACATCAAACGGGTTAGTAACAACAGCAACTGTCGGACTGCAGATAATCCTTCAAAATGTTTTTGAATAAAGAAAGCTTAGCAGGAAATGCCCTTTTTTAAAAACGAATCCATATTGTGAATAATGCGACATGTAAAAAAAACTTCGCCTGACCACTAGCCTTTCCCTGGTGATACTAGGTTTTCTGGGACCACCTCTGGTATTGGATGGTCTAGTTGAAAAAAACTCTGAAAAATCCAATCCGCAATTTCCAAACAAGATTTAATGGGCCATTGTCATTTTTACGTCTTCTAACGCAAGGAATGTCAAACCCAACTTCTTGTCACGAATTTGCTATTAGGAATAAGATCGTACGCAAAACTCAATGGAATAAATAGCTTTCGTGGAAAACTTTTCTGAACATTTCCAAGTAATTTATAGTTTTGCACAGATGTGGGTTGTACATCACAGTACCATATTCTAACATAGGTCTGATGTAAGTCTTATATGCTTTCAAAAGAATCCCTGTGTCCTTGGTTGAGAACGCTCGAAATAAGTTATAGATTGCTGTCATTGCTTTATCCGCATAACCTTGCAGTGCTCCTCAAATGTAAGACTACTATTTATCAAGAATCCAAGGTCTCTGACCGACCCTATTGCCTGGAGTACCAAATCCCCTAAAGAGTAACTGAAATTAGGAATAGGGTTTTGAGGTCCAATGCGTATGAATTTTGGTTTTTTCTCTTGAAATTGGCAAACCCCATTCTCGCGACCATTTATGAACGTCATCTATCGCTCCTTGCAAGCGCCTGCAATCACCATCGTCGATGACCGGGTGTAGAGCTTAAAATCGTTTGCGAACGCACTGCAAGAAACACCATGCTTTGTAGGTATAGCGGGGAGTTCATGGGTGTAAATGTTGAACAGAATAGGAGACAGGACTCCTCCCTGGGGCATCCCGCTACCCATAAATCTGGGCTCAGAGAAAGTGTCATTGATACGGAGAAGAAATGTCCTATCTTCCAGAAAAGCTTTGATCCAGTCGACAATACGAGGATGTAATCCCACAATCCTTAGTTTTTGAACTAGTTTGATGTGGTGTACAGTCGAATAGATTTTCCGCTTAATATAGTGTGCTTGCACGGAAGGTGAAATGCGGTAGAATTTGCGCGTGAAGAAGTAGTCAAACCAGTACTGCCGGCATTTTGCGCGCAAATGGCCGGCGTTCACGCTCGAAACTATTTGTTTACGCGCAAATTTTACCGCATTTCTCTTCTGTGCAAGCACACTATATTAAAGGCAGCGTCCAGGCAAGTCTGGACCTATGGGGATTTTCTGTGGCAAGCACTTTTGGGGCCCTAACTAAGCCACTGCCCAATGCAGCTCAGGTAGTGCCCTAACGGCTGAGATATTCCCCTCGAAATTGGACCCCGCGACCGTGTTTCGCATGGATTCATGGCAGTTTCGCGCCAGGATCCACGCTTTGCGCCATGAATGCATGCGAAACACGGTCGCGGGGTCCAATTTCGAGGGGAATATCTCAGCCGTTAGGGCACTACATGAGCTGCCGCTTGGGCAGTGCCTTAGGCTTTGGCCATACTTTGCCCGTGTTGCCGATGTTTCCAGTGTTGAAAGTGTTGCCGGTGTTGAAAGTGTTGAAAGTGTTACCGGTGTTGAAAATGTTGAAAGTGTTGCCGGTGTTGAAAGTGTTGAAAGTGTTGAAAGCGTTACCGGTGTTGAAAGTGTTGAAAGTGTTGAAAGTGTTGCCAGCGTTGAAATTGTTGAAAGTGTTGCCGGTGTTGAAAGTGTTGAACGGAGATCATCAGTCTAGCAGTTTCATTCTTTCTCGAACGATTTCACCGGCTGGTGAATACGTTGGGAATGGATTTGGGGAATGAGAAATGAAACTGAAATGAGATGGGGAATGTTTTCGCATGTAAAAGATCCTCAAACAAACTTTTTGAAAAGTGGACGGCTTGTCTGGAATAGGCAATCTCCAATATTTGAAAACGCTGCAGACCTCACTTAGGTCCTTTACTCACTAATAATCGCAAGCGTGGCAGGATTCGAACTAAAACACATTACTACTCAGACGTCAGCTTTCTCAAATATTAGAGATTGCCTATTCCAGACAAGCCGTCCACTTTCCAAAAAGCTTGTTTGAGGATCTTTTGCATGCGAAAATCTTCCCGATCTCATTTCAATTTCATTTCTCATTCCCCAATTCCATTTCCAACGTATTCACCAGCCGTGAGATCGTTCCAGAAAGAGTGAGACTGCTAGACTGATGATCTCTTTTCAACACTTTCAACACTTTCAACACTGGCAACACTTTCAACACTTTCAACACTTTCAACACCGGTAACACTTTCAACACTTTCAGCACTTTCAACGCCGGCAACACTTTCAACACTGGCAACACTGGAAACATCGGCAACACGGGCAAAGTATGGCCAAAGCCTTAGTTAGGGCCCCAAAAGTGCTTTCCACCTAAAAGCCCCATAAGTCCAGATCTGCCTGGGCGCTGCCTTTGAGCGGAAAATCTACTCGACTGTACCTTGTCAAAGCCCTTAGTGAAATCCAAGTAGATTACATCCGTATTAAGGCCTCTATCAAAGTTGAGCGTCCATTCATTGAGTGATTGCAACATCGCAGTAGACGTGGACCTACCAAGCAGAAACCCGTGCTGTGAATGAGAAATAATGCCATGGTTATTCTAATGTTTAACAATATGTTTCTTTAGAATTTTTTCAAATAAGCTGGCAAAGATTGAGGTGATACTGACAGGACAAAATTTTTGGGACAGGTGTAGGGCTTCTTTTTCGGAATGGGCGTTACATAGGAGGTGCGCCATTATTACCGTAACCACGACCGTCGGATTATTATTTATTGTTTTATGTAGCGATTTGTTTGTTTCCGACCCCGTCTGTGACTCTAAGAATTCAAAATGAAAAGATGCCTGTTTGTTTGAACTGTTTTTGTTATATGTGAGCTAGCTGAAGAATTCCCCATGATAATTCAAGCGCATATTGTCATCGTAAAGAAAATGAAAATGCGCATCATATGGCTACTTCAACCATTTATTTAGAATCCTATGCAGCTCTCAGCTGCGGAGAAATTTTTTGAAACATTGCCAACTTGAGTTAAAATTGAGCAACTGGATTGCATACGACTTTAATTGGATAGAATATTTTTGAAAGATTTGCAAATTTTAATTTAGTTTAGTAGGTGGTTACCGCCACCCACCTTCATGCGAGATTCCGGGGTCATCTCACATCGGTACACAAAGACTTAGTAAAGCATCCTAGTTTCTTCGAAAAGCTTGGCCAACGTCCTTCTTCTAAAAAAAATTTTTTTTTGGCGCAAAACTCTTGGCAAACGTCGCTATCATGGACTTCCACGATTTTTTTTGCATGTGAATCATCATTATTAGTATTTGAACAAGATACAGGTTCATAAAACTCTATCGAACGTACTCGCTCACTCTGTATTTTCAATGTATCTTACAAATGCTGATAATTATACTGATTACTGATCTTAGAGATAATTGCGTCTGCAATTATATATTACCAACCTATGTTCAACGTGCACCACAAGAATATGGCAGTCTTTATAAGCAATAAGAAACAAGTGATAAATACATGCATAATAAAAAAGCAGAATTAAGTAATGGCAAATGCACCAGTTATTCTAAACATTCGTAAAAATACAAAACAACAGTTGAAACCGTATTTATGGCGGAAAATTAAAAAACCTTCATATTTTTCAACATGCATACTGGACTTACATTCTTCAAGGGGAATCTGATTTGACTTTGTTTTTCAATGATGGTTGTTCCAGCAACTTCACAAAGTCAAAAATGTCAGCGGCAAGTGGTTTGGGCATTTCAAATGCAGCAAAATGGCCCATGTCCTTTATGGCAGTGTAATGCGTCAGGTTGTACATGGTGGAAGAGATCTAGAAAAATCCTGTATGATATTTCACAAAAATTTGCTTAACCGATTAGAGCTTTCATTGACTAACCTCAGGCGGTGATTGATCGAATAATTCATTCATACCGGATGCATGTGCGGTAGGGACTGAGGTGTACTGTCTGTAAAGATTTTGTTTTTTGCTTCTTTTTTTAGTTTCCTTTTTCCAGAGAAAAGAACCTACTTCTGTACAGCGTCATTCTGCTTGTCAAGAAAAGCTTCGCGATAAAATCGTTGAGACGACACAATGTTACCGTTCACCCAGTAAATCATAACAATAGTCAGAAGCTCATCTCGAGTGAATTTCCTATAAATTGTGTTCTTAATAAATAAGAAAAAACGGCTGTTTACAAGGCTGCATTCATTTAGGAAAAAACCCAACAATGAAAATAAAATAGCAAGTGGAAAATATTAAGGGAATTTATAAGCAAATTTTTGGTGTCTTTATTTCGTTCTTCCGTTCGAAGATGTTCTCAAAATAATGGACTGGAAGAGGAGGGAAGGGGGGAGTGAGAAGGAAAAACGCACTCCAAGAGTGACTACATAAGCTATCAAAATTTACAAATTACTTGTTTTTTACTTGTGAACTAAATCTAAAACAATTTCTTGGGAATTCAATTCGAAATCAGTTTATGTAAACAATTTCTTGTGTTTTCACTCTGGTCTATGAATGATCAAGCGCACAAGTGTTCCAAATTAATCCAGAGGGATTCCAGTCACCAAATTACCAAACCAGTTAAAAATTACCATGTTCTGTCTCCAACTCTCAACACACCACTTCTCGATATTGAAGAGCTTAGGTTCAATTCTATATGGACTTACTTTGTCAAACCACCATCTTGAAGTTCCCTGTACTTGTTATTTGTCCATGTTGAAAACTTCTCCAATATGTAGGCAGCTAGGCCCAGAGGTGAGTCATTGAGTGCAACTCCTGGAAAGTTTGTGTTGTTACTTGCAATTTTGACCTAGTACTGTCTGTGTCAATCGTAGTGTCACTTTGGCGTGCGTCTACGCATGCACATGCCTGAAGGCACTATTACAACTAACTGACCTACAGTATCAGGTTTTGTAGCCTGGATATGCATATAACCACTCTCAACCAGCATTAGGAAGATCTTCCCAAACATGTTGTGATTTTTGCTCTCTGGTGACGAAAAGAAAACCTACAATAATTACTTTACTATCGCATCGTCAAAGCAAAACGAAACGGCTGGAGAAAGAACGCTTACATTTGGGAAGAAGCTTCCAGCAATGTCAAGGAATAATCCTTTCATAGAGCCACCTGGTGTGATTGGCATCATGTTTAGATGAAGTCCAAGAACCCTGGAAATCTCCAACTTGATAAAACCAACGTCAACATGTAACTTACCTGTCTGGGTAAACCCTGGCAATATTACTAGTAACAAGAGCGCCCCAATCTCCTCCTTGAAGGTAATACTTCTTGAATCCAAGTCTATCCATCAATTTGCGGAATACTCGTGCACAAGCCAATTGGCTGAATCCTGGAAAATGTATTATTTACTACATTTTTTAGCGGTAATTTTCGGAGCGGACCGGATTTCTTAGGTTGATCTGACCATCCATAACCAGGAATCGAAGGAGCAATTACTTCAAAAGCGATCTAAAAAAAGATTATTCAGACAACAGTGTCCGCGTCGCGACGGTGCAATGCATATGCAGCGTGTGCGCTCAGTCAATAAACTGATCATCTTGGAAAGGAGCTCTTTCATGGTAAACAATGAGTTGAAATATGTCACTGAAAATCAGTTTCTAACAATAAGCCAAACTTACACAAAAGGGGCGTGACCAAGAAGGAGTTTGAATTTTTCTGAAGGCATGGAGCTACAATTCGCCGGCTAGCTTGAGAGAATATTAGGATCTTTCCATAGAGGCCATTCTTCACTCCTTCTCTCCCCCCCCCCCCCCCTTCTTCCTCCCCCTTGCCCCGCCTGTCCTCTCTCATTCATCTCAGATTTTGTAGAACAATGCAAAATCTTCCATGCCCTTTAATTCAACTGGCTTGGCGTTGGAAGGCAGGTCATTGACAAAATTAAGGCTAGGTCATGATCAGAGAGCACGCGCGCGGGTGAGACGCAGACAGCGTCGAGGATGCGAGCGACCTTAACTAGGTCAGAGAGTCCCGCCTTCCAGCCGCCAAGCCACTTGAGTCAAAGGTTACCTCCGAGGTGATCCCATGTTTCTTGGGATCCGTAAGCATCGGAATTATTTTATAGAATTCGAATACGTTTCCAGGCCAGCCATGAACAATCAACAACGGGACAACCTTCTTATACCCCGATGCGGCTGGTTCCCTTATGAAATGAATCTGAAACAGAGCAAATCGCTAAAGAAAAGAGCTTCAAAGAAAGCTGAGCACCTTTAATCCTTCTATTTCAGTCTGAAACTGCTTGAACTGATTGATAATGTTCTCGTGCTTTTTCCAGTCGTAGCTGTTCAGCCAGTATTTTCTGAACACTTCCAGTTCGTCGCTATTGAAGCCGTACCAAAAATCATTAGCATCATCGAGGTGTCGATGGGAGACTCGAGCATTCATGAGCCTTCGCCTGAGATCCTGGAGAAAAGGATTAGAAAGACTTTGAAATCAACCAAACTAGAGCACAGACCTCAAGGACTTCGTCGGGAACACTAACGCTGAACGGATGCACCACAGGATCATCGGCTCGGGGTGATCCCGTCCCAAACCAACCATTTTCCTCGACTTCAATCTAGAAAGTAATTTTCAGGGCTAGCATGACAAACTAAAAATTTGTTTTTTACCTTTTTGGCGGGTGGTGTCAAGAATGTCACGTAGGCTACAAAGGCTCCTATGCCTAGCGCTACCGCCAACAGGAAATGGGTAAATAAACCCATACCTGAAAAATTGCGTGGTTAAAAGATGCTACAGTGCTGGCCAAAAGTTTGCAACCACTCTGAAAAATAGCTATAATACACTTCGCATTCTACATAATGAACCTGAATGATAGTATTGAGCGCAAATTACTCTACTTTTCAAAGTATCAAAATATTTTGCGATTTGATGCAAACAGATGGTGATTTTGGAAAAGTGGCAGAAATGAGGTTGGCCATAACTTGCAGCCACTTCTTGTTAATCGTCTTTGTGAAAGTCTCTAAACTTCCAATACTCGTGCTACGGGTGTCCATAAATGCTGGAATGTGCCCAACAATCAGCTTCACCATACTACAAAACAGGAGACTGTATGGACCAAATTGGTTTGTCCGCAAGCTGACGGTGACAATCGAAAAATATCATTTTGGGCAAGGATTGAATTGTACATGCTCTTATAGAAACTCTTACTCAACAGTACTTCGTTTATATTCAATTTGAATGTCACTTCTGCTAGGATTTGGCGCATTTTGCAGCTCTCGGAAGTCTGGCGCCGCGGTCCGCAACAACCTCAAACTCACTGATAAAATTGTTGCTACAAAGACGAACGCTTGGTCGAAGCTTTCAGAGTTCCACAGAAAAGATGGAGCTGTTTTTGCTAAAGAAAAACCCCCGCAAATTTTTGCATCCAAGAAAATGCCCCAATAGAAATTGTTAGGTGCGCAAATCGCGCATTTTTTATGGCAAAAACAGCTCCATCTCATCTTGGAATACTGAAAGCTTTGACCAAGAGTTCTTCTTTGTAACAACAATCTTATCAGTGAGTTTGAGGTTCTTGGGGACCGCGGCGCCAGACTTCCGAGCTGCAAAATGCGCCAAATCCGAGCAGAAGTGACATTCAAATTGAATATAAACCAAGTACTGTTATTTCTGTCACACAATTTGGTTGACTCTGAACCTATAATTGGTAAGAGTCTCTATAAGAGCATGTACAATTCAATCTTGCCCAAAATCTAACGATTTTTTTTCATTTTCACCGTCAACTTGCGGACAAACCAGTTTGGTCCATACAGTCTCCTGTTTTGTAGTATGGTGAAGCTGACTGTCGGGCACATTCCCGCAATTATGGACACATCCGTAGCACGACTATTGAAAGTTCAGAAACTTTCACAAAGACGATCAACAAGAGGTGGCTGCAAGTTTTGGCCAACCTCATTTCTGCCACTTTTCCAAAATCACATCTGTTTGCATCAGATCGCAAAATACAGGGTGTCCGTAAAGTATGTATACACTGTTTGATCGTTAATATCTCTTTTCCCAAGAAGTATTTTGCCTTGCTTCAGGTACCATTTTGTAGAGCTGGCTTCAACTTAGATTTGCAGTAGAGAACGAATCACCTATCTCTCTTCATTACTGTAGGATTACGGTAGAAACTTGAAACATATGACGTCAATGTGGAAAAAGCTGCCGTTTCAAAAAATTTTAAAAAGATGTGAAAACTTGCGTGATAGGGTTTTTATGGACGCTGAGTTCAATACTCAATTATCCACAGGATTGCGAAGCTTTCTAAACGGTGTAACCTCACTTTTAAGGAACATTGAAAAAATGGCTGCTACCTCTTACCTGGCATAACTCAGCATCACAATAAGTTGGGAACTTTACAATTAGAATCGGCAACTCTAACTAGCCTAGTGTAAAAGTTTTCAGGCTGTTTTGTCTCTTTTCTGAGGCAAAATATAGCCTTTCATGGCCCAAAACCCTCTTTGAACTTTCTACCGTGATCCTACAGTAAAGGAGAAAGATGGACGATTCGCTCTATACTGTAAATCTAAGTTGAAGCCAGCTCTACCAAATGGTACCTGAAGCAAGGCAAAATACTTCTTGGGAAAAGAGATATTAACAATCAAACAGTGTATACATACTTTACGGACACCCTGTATTTTGGTACATTGGAAAGTAGAGTAACTTGCGCTTAAAGGCAGTATATCGGCAGAATGAGACCCGTGGCAAAACAAGGTCACAGTGTAGGAGCCCCATATGGAACCTATGGGCCAAAGTTCGATCTTTCTCTGCCACTTCTAACCCCCGAAATTTCAAAGCGAAAGCAGCGCTCATCTCCTGTCCTCTCCGAACCCGCCCACCCTATGGACGAGTGACTTCCGCGGTCAGAGCGCCAGCCGCAATGCTATAAGCATGAGGTCCCGCAACGACTCTGCGTCTTCGCCATGGCGGGCTTCGCGTTCACTCGTCCATGGGATGGGCGGGTTCGGAGAGGACAGAAGATGAGCGCTGCTTTCGCTTTGAAATTTCGGGGTTAGAAGTGGCAGAGAAAGATCGAACATTGGCCCATAGTTCCATTATGGGGGCTCCTACCCTGTGATCTTGTTTTGCCACGGGTCTCATTCTGCCGACCTACTGCCTTTAATACTATCACTTGGGCTCATTATGTAGAACTAGCTGGCTTACTCGGCTCCGCCGTATCCGGACCAAACTTGACACACATACACTTCGGGCCCCGGCGGGTGTCACAGTCCACTTTTCGTTATCGATCGATGTCGATTTTACCGATTTTTCGATTTTTTTGCAGAGTTCACCTACAGTGCTAGGAGTTGGCACAGGGGGGAAGTGAGCATGGGGATTCCGAATACAATATTAGTTTTCAGAATTATCGATTACTTTTATTGATTTTATCGATTTTTTGTAAATTTTGACATGCGAGGCTGGGATTTTGCACAGGGGGGTAATCGAGCATGCTGATTACGAACACAATATTAGTTTTTAGGATCGTCCATTACTTTTATCGATTTTATCGATTTTTTGTAAAGTTTGACCTGCGGGGCTGGGAGTTTGCACAGGGGGTACCCCCCTTGGGGATGATCAGCATGCTCGATTAACCCCCTGTGCCAACTCCCAGCCCCCTAGCTCAAACTTTGCAAAAAAATCGATAATCCCGAAAACCAATATTGTATTCGGAATCCCCATGCTCGATTACCCCCCTGTGCGAACTCCCAGCCCCGTAGCTCAAACTTTGCAAAAAAAATCGATAAAATCGATAAAAGTAATCGATAATCCTGAAAACCGATATTGTATTCGGAATCCCCATGCTCGATTACCCCCCTGTGCCAACTCCCAGCCCCGTAGCTCAAACTTTGCAAAAAAATCGATAAAATCGATAAAAGTAATCGATAATCCTGAAAACCGATATTGTATTCGGAATCCCCATGCTCGATTACCCCCCTGTGCCAACTCCCAGCCCCGTAGGTGAACTCAGCAAAAAAATCGATAAAAATCGATAAAATCGATATCGATCGATGACGAAAAGTAGCCTATGACACCCGCCGGGGCCCGTAGTGTATGTGTGCCAAGTTTGGTCCGGATCGGTTCAGAAATGGAATTTTCTATTCGGAACATACGTACAGACATACATACAGACAGACAAACAGACATTCAGCTTTATATATAAGATGCGAAGTGGTTATAGCTATTTTTCAGGTGTTTGAGCTTTAGCTTACAAGGAGGGCACGATTTACACAGTTATAAGAAATACAAAAAAAACAATGAGTGGCACCGAGGATTAAGAATTATTCGAAAAATTATCCAAAGTAGTTTACATGAGCAACAAAATCATGCAAGCTTGTTCCTCTTAAAGATAATCAATAGATTTAGACCCCTTCAAGAAATCAAACTAATGTAAAGAATTCCTCTTACAAGGGAACGATCCCAACTTAAGGTGGCGAATTGGAATAAACCGCATACCATTAGATGCGTCTTGATGAGCTGATTCCAAATCTGCCTTCCTTATCTGCGACAACGTTATCTGGAAGAAGTTATGAAAGGTTAAAAATGTGAAGTAACGGGGGTTTTGATGCATAATTTGCTTTAAAATCCAACTTGGAAGTGCACGACTAGCATCATATTGAGTGTACTGATTTCAAGGAATGCTCACACTCTAAAGAAACTCAAATAAATGTTTTTGAACGGCTAAAAAGCAACTAAAGTTCTTTGGTAAAAGCTATGAGCAATGAAAAGTCCAAATTTGGCAAATATACATAGCAATACCTCGAAAATTAGTTGTTCAAAAACACTTATTTGAGTTTCTTTAGAGTGTGAGCATTCCTTGAAATCAGTACACTCAATATGATGCTAGTCGTGCACTTCCAAGTTGGATTTTAAAGCAAATCATGCATCAAAACCCCCGTTACTTCACACATTTAACCTTTCATAACTTCTTCCAGATAACGTTGTCGCAGATAAGGAAGGAAGATTTGGAATCAGCTCATCAAGACGCATCTAATGGTATGCGGTTTATTCCAATTCGCCACCTTAAGTTTGGATCGTTCCCTTGTTAGAGCTCGCTGTTGCTTCTGATTCTGTGATTATTGATGGTATTTGAAGAAAAATATTCGCTTTTACAACATCCATCAGCTCGGTTGGTGAGTGCGGATTACGTTAGCCTGACGTAAGACTAAGCATCGACGATACTACAGCCAATATTTTTTGCGTATGGCATATGCAGTCAGAATGTGCAATAATAAAGCTTGAGGGGGAAATTGATTCCCGTAATATTACCATGAGATATTGAGATGCCCTTTGAATGAATCGTCCTCCGATGTCAAGGAGAAAGCACTCCAAAAAGACGTTAAAACCGTCACGAAAAGAGCTTTTTTGACAAGAAATAGATGCTTAAAAATATGGCTGTTCCTTTGAAAAAATTCTATGTAAAGCAATCGATTTTTCTATAGACCATACTTATGAGACAATCCACTAATTAAAAATAGACGTTAGCAGGGTGTCTTTTCCTCAGTGAGCCGACAAGGAATTTAGAGAATTATTAAGTCTAGAGATACTGGATGCAACGTGATAATATAGATAAACAAAAGAAAAATGAAAAGTTCAAAACGTAGCACGGGTGTTTTAGCATGCTTTCAATAATTTGCAAGATTATCGAGCAATATATTAGGTCGTTCCGAAAGTAATGTCGCTTTTTTCGAATGAACGCCACTATTCGTGGAATCAACATTCTTAAGAGAACTTAGGAGCATTCGATGCATTTCATCCTCTTTCTAATGGTTCTAATTTCGCTGCTTAATGTTTGATGAGCTCTCGAAAAATCACCAAAATCTGCTTCTCATGCTCTTTGCCATGGTCAAGTTCGGTTATTTTTCTTGATTTTTGTACCTAATCTCCGAAAAAGTACAAGTAGCAGGTAGATAGAGCAAACACTATAGAACACAGAGTAATTTTTTCTTTTCCTCAGCTTTCTTCTTAGGGTTTCTGGAATCAATTTTCCAATGACATCAAATTCCATATTTGGTCA